ATCTGGGGCGGCCGGAACCTCCGGAACCTCGGGAACCTCCGGAACCTCGGGAGCCTGCACATCCCGAACCTGCACATCCCGAACCTCGGGAGCCTGCACATCCCGAACCTGCACATCCCGAACCTCCGGAACCTCGGGAGCCTGCACATCCCGAACCTGCACATCCCGAACCTCCACATCCTCCACATCCCGAACCTCCGGCACATCCCGAAGCGCTGCGGGTCCGGCAGGCAATGGGCCGCCGTGCCGGTGGGGACCGGCGTTCCGCGTTCCTGGCGGCCGGGGATGCTGCTATCCCTGCCGAGAGCGGATGCACAGCGCCCGGAGAGAAGGAGCGGCCAAGCCGCAAAAAAATGTAAAACCACCCTCAAAAAAAAAAAGGCGAAAAAAAAATCAACAGCAAATAAACGGACTAACACCCCAGCCCAGGACTAACAGAAGGGAGTTCTCTGGAGCGCCGGGCAGCCCCGCTTTGCTGCCAGCCCTGGCAGCTCGTACACAGAAAGCACCGGATCAAAATGTGAAACACGGTTCTGTTTCATGGCCCAGCGTTCTCCTGAGGCCTCAGCGTGTGTTTGGCGCTGTGACGATAAGGGCCGACGGGGATTAAAGCCAAGCAATTGCTCCGGAACAGCAGCGGCCAGGAGAGGGCTGCCTTGGATCTCGGAGCAGGCGATGGAGCCGCTCCGCTCAGCAGCGGCACCGCTCAGCTCACAGCTCACAGCTCACAGCTCACACACAGCTCACAGCTCAGCTCACAGATTACACACAGCTCACAGATCACACACAGCTCACACACAGCTCACAGCTCACAGATCACACACAGATCACACACAGCTCACAGCTCACAGCTCACAGCTCACAGCTCACACCGCTCAGCTCACAGCTCACAGATCACACACAGCTCACACCGCTCAGCTCACACCGCACCGACAGCCCCGGCCAGCCGAGACCGGACACGGGCTTCCCTTAAACCCGCTGAAACCAAGCCTTGCCCATCATAACAGCAAGAATGGCTTAGTCCCCAAGAGTTTCTGTCGAACGCTGTCAGAATTTAACCATTATACTGGGCGTTTAATCATACACATATAGCTGTCATCTATTACAATTAGTTATAAAACTACAGTTAAACATCTAAATCCCTCCCAAAAGCTTATTGGCTTTCAGAGGGGAGTGTGTTTGTAAATAAAGTGTCTTTAAATTGGCACGTTTTAAGTGCTTGAGTGGAGGGAGGGGATGCCACCCAGTGGGATTTCATAGGTTGAAAGGGGCCTCTTGGCCAACCTCAGGCATCTGAAGGAAGCCAAGTGCAAGGTTCTGCACAGGTACAGGCTGGGCAGAAGATGGACTGACACTATTCCTGGGGAGAAAGACTTGGGGGTGTCAGTAGTGAGTAACTATATAACCATAAAGTTATGGCTATGGAGGTTCCCATATTTGTTTTGATTCTTTTTCCTCTAAATAGGTACAGTGAATTTAGGGACTCCTCAGGGCTCGCATGGGAAGATCAGTTCTTTCTCACCAAGGTGAAACACTGGCACAACACTGAGATCAGGACAAGCCACTTACCCCTATTTGTTTTGTTTACAAAATAGCTGGGGGCAGATTGTGTCCCATTATGTAAAACTTTCCTGCTTTTCAGTTAGTTATCCCAAATCCTTGTAAAAGAGCTGTTTTACTTCAAAGAAACACAGCCCTGGCAGTTGATTTCCAGAGCCAGTGATTGCTGCTGCATCATGGATATATTAAGTTCCATTTAGTCAAAAAACTCCTCTGCAGTTGGTTTCCTTCCCCTCATACTGGACACAGAAACTGTCCTCTTATTGTTGGAAACCTTCCAGTTTCAGCTTGCCTGTGCATGCAGAGTGCAGACCATCAGTTATTTTCTTGTACTCACACAGTTATTTTTCTCCCTACAGTATTTATCCATTCAATTTATTATTGAGCATGAATTAGTGCTTTCCTGAACCTCAACTGGCAAGTCACAGTCCCCTTTGGCACAGCACACTTTCCATTTACCTCACTTTTTCCCAAGCTGATTTTTTCTCTTGTGTAAGGCTGAGCAGGTGTGTGTGAAGTTCAGAGGAGTGGCAGTGTTTTATTTGGAACATTGACACTCCTGAGATTGAGAGGAGGAAGAGAAAGTGACCGCCCTCACACTCTGTTCTCAGCTCTCACACTTTTGAATTAAATCTCACTGCTGTTGCTCCAGTGAATGAGATGAATCACTAAGATGTTTCTAAAACCCCCAGCCTTATCTTAGGTCCCAAATAGATTTTTTTCACCTGCTGTTTCCCTTGAAATACTAAAACAGTGAGGGGTGCTCATATGCAGAACTCTGTCTTTTGAAATCTGAAGTAGGCCTCCACTTCAAAACTTGATAAAGCAAATAGAGTTTGAAAATCACAGAAGGTTAATTAATTTAATTAATTGCTTTACAGAAATTAATGCAAGTTCAGCTCCATAAACCTAAGGAAATGCAGAGAGGAACTAGTTTCTTACTACTATAAGACAATTTATTGCCTTTTGGTATTTCAGTAATTTTAACTGAAGAAACACAATGATAAAACAGACCCCACATGTGGGATTTATCTCATCTGGGTGTCCCAGACATCAGATCAGAGCAGTCAGATCACAGAGCCCCAATGCAGGTGCCACAAAGGCATCAGTGAGGCTGTGGTGGCTCCAAGCCTGCTGGTAACACACCCCACTGGGCAAGAGCAGCCTCAGCTCTCCACGGTGCAGCTCTGGTGGCTCCAGTTATTCCAGGTAAGAACATGCAGCCATCAGGACCAGGATATCCCTGCCTTCCATATGTGGGTTTATGAAAAAACCCACCCATCTACAGGAGTGGATAACCAACTCACTTGGTCACTCCCAACCACACCTTCATTGCACCACTGATCTCACTGGAGCGACGTCTGTTCAAGCCAAATGAAACTTTGATCCAGAGTGAAAAACCTGAAGAAAAATAGTAGTGCTTTAGCCAGTATTCTTATTATCCAAAATAAAAAAAAAATCTCTTCATTCTAATTTACTGCTGGCACTAATTCTCTTTTGTGGACATATATACCTCATTTGAGAGTACAGACTATTTCTGCTTTAAGATGTCTTAAAATAGTGTCTTCTTAACCATGTCTCAGTACAAAGCAACCTTAAACTACAAATCAAATTGAAAGATCAAATTATTTAATTACACGCAATGAAAAAATTTTTAGTTAATATAAAGCTTGCAAGTCAGCAAATGTCTATTAAATGTGGGGAATAAACAGCTGAGCCGAGCCAGCAGAGATGTGACAGCAATGGGAAAGAAACAAGTATGCACAAAAGAAAAAAAATTTAGAAAGAGACCGCTATATAAAGCAGTAGAACATTCCTATGTACCTCTCTTGTTTTGGCACACATTTTCTTCGTTGCCATGGCAATCACTGGAGTCTTTCTAGGCATCCATTTCTGCACTGTAAAATGCAGATAATATTTTTTACTGCATATGTTTCGGTAATGCATTTTCAAACCACTTTTGTGGCAGGGGATGGATGGATCTGTTTGCAAGATCCACTGAAGTGAAGATGAAGGAACATTCTAGAAGACCCTGCTTTGAGCAGGGAGATTGGATTAATGACCTCCATTGGTCCCTTCCAACCCTTCCCATTCTGTGACTGTGAGAATGCTTCAGTAGAACAGAGTGCAGCTGAGAACTGAGCTAATATAGGTGTGGAGTTATTTTTCCTCCTTTTTTTTTCCCTTTTCTTTTCATTATTTTACATATATTGAGACATATCTGCACCTCAGCCATGCTCGCACCTGAGGGAACTTTCAATCTAGACAGATTTACAGTAGGACTCTACATAATAATGGAAATTCAAGCTCATGCAGAGTGCTTGACTGAGACTCACCTACAACAGAAGAGCTATTGATCATGTTCCCTTGGGACTGGGAAGGCCCCTTCTTCAGATACCCATTTCTCTGCATAAAGAGAGCCAGGAAGCTTTTTTGAGATGCCTTAAAGTTTTCAGGAGCACCAGAGGCATAAAACAAGGCTCATACAAGGTGTTAACTGCAGAGTACAATAGGAATACAGTCCACAACAAAATGTTGTCTTCATTTGGAGATAAACAATTGGCAGGCAGATTTTTCCAACAGACATTAAAATTGAAATTAAGAATTAATGGGAATAAATAGAGACTGGGCAAAACCAGAAACTGTAAACAGGCTTCAGCTTTATGACTAATGCTGTGAGAGTCATATATCAGGCATTTAGCACTGTAGAACAGAGTGAATTCTGGTTTTTGCCTTATTACTGTTAAGATTTTCACTGGTATCATTGTCATTACTGACTCCTCAACTTCCTACCCCTCTAGAGCTGCTGACCACATCTTTGAAAGAATAGCTAAGATGCAGTGATTAAATGTAAAGATGAAATCATGATAACACCAGATGCAGAAAGCAACAGGTTGTTAGGCACAATTATGTCAGGAAGAAGGCATGATTGAAGAGAATGAAAATCACTTGCACTAGTGATTTTGCATGATCACTGCACCTCTTCATTCACTGTAAACAAAACAAAATTAAATTTACTAATGATGCAACAGAATGCAGCTGTTGGAGATGGGATATGTTGTTTTGATCTCCACTTCTTTTCATCTCAGTTAAAATTTTGAACATGGCCATTTAAAAGCAATTCTCCTATAATTTTGTGATAGTTCAAGTACTTTAGGTTCTTTTTTTCCAGAGAACAGCTGTGTTGTTATCTTGACAACTAATGTGTAGTAATGACGGATTTAGGTCTTAAAAATTAGCTACTAAAGTGTGTCAGAAAAGAGATGAATTAGCCTGAAGTGATTTCTGACAAGCCCTTGTCAGCGGGTTTACGACTGTCGGAGCAGATGGCACTTTGGGAAGTTGGAGCTGTCTCATTGTGCTCCCTCCAGTGCCAGCCAGAGCAGTGAAGACACTTCAGCCTGGGCAGCAGCCAGAAGGAAGAATGCAGAGTACACCGGATTTGTGGATTTACTTTTCCGGTGTTGACTCGGTTTTTGCAATCTGCTTAGCAATTTGTGGATAATCACAATGGTCTTGCTACCTGCTCCAGTAATGGCTCAATGCATAATTACATACTCACTGGAATGCTTTAACAGAATTCTTAACATACTTTTTATTTTAAAAATTTTAAAAATATGTTGAATAGGTTGAAAGCTTTTCAGGACAAAAGTGTTTTAGACAAAACACAGGTTTTCTGCTCAGTAAAGCAGGTACTGGGCTACATTCTAACTCTGTGGTTTATAAAACAATAGAATATGTGACCCAGTGATTCCAAACAACTGCAATCCAGTCAATTAACATCTTGTTCATTTAGCTTAAAAAAAGCTAAATTAATTTTATGAAAAAAGGAGCTTCTTTTTTTTTTCCAAAATCATATTTTGGTTATTTAGTGAAAAGTTTTAATTCAAATATGACAATGAAAAGATGCATTTTGACCTATATATACTATCTTTAAATTACACCCAAATAAATAAGCACATAAAATAATTATTAAGTAGTGCAAAATAAAGTATTCTTTTTCTTTTGGAAAAAAAAAACCCTTTGGTTTTAGCCAAACCGATTTCTTCTCTGGTAGTCCTTTAATTAGATGCAAATCTTACCCTTCAAAACCAGTCCTCTATTTACTTAAAAATGATAAATCTTAAAGTATTTGAAGCCATTCCTTTTCTTTCCTTTGTACACATCTCCACTCAGGAATAGTGTCTGTAATGTAGAACACGTTCCACTGAGGTGGAAATTGGATCTTGGCCAGCTAAAAATAAAATGAAATTAAATAAAATTAAATAAATTCTTAATGTTGTTTTTATGCTCTTTCTTTAGATAAACCTTTTTTTTGTTGTTCAAAAAAAAAGTTCCCATGTTGTCAGTGGCAGCAGATGTTGTCAGTGGCAGCAGTACATCAGTCATCCCTAGCACAGCACCCTGTGTGACACACCAGCTCCTGTTTTCCTGCTGAAGTCTGGAGGAGTGAGCAGGCACTGAAATATGGCAGATGACCTGAAAAGCCTTCACAGGAATATCATCAATATGCTTCTAATAAATGTGCCCAGTGAGAGACCCTGCTTTTGACAAGGCAGCAGACAGACTCCTCTCAAAAGCTGCCAAGAAATGGCACAGTCCTAATTCCCCATATCACAAAAAGGTGTTGCTGTCCAGGAGTTAACACTGGTACTGAGCCAGATCTCTCACTCTGAGGAGATAAGGCTGAGAGGGGCTGGGAGAGACAATGTTTTTGTTGAGATAATAGGAAGATAACAGCAAGTGGTTTCCTCTAACTGTATCAAGCAAACCTGGTCCCAAATGGAATATCCTGTATTTACATACATTTACTCTGTATGTGCCTTGTCCCTTCTGATCTGTAGATATCTTCTTATCAAACACTGTCCTTAATAGAACTCTGCTAAAACCAACACACGGCCTGGCTTTTCAAATTATATAATAGATCAAAATGAAATGTCCCAGATATTGCACTGGAAAGATTGAAAGGAGTTCCTGTACTCATCATTTGTTCAATTAGCCTGGTAAAAACACCTTGTCACAACTCCTTGCCAGAATTGAAAGTACTTGGGAATGATAAAAACCAGTAGCTCTTAATAAAAGGCCAGGACCAAAGCTGGTTATTTTCAGTGTGAATCACACTGCAATGGCACTTACATTGAGCTGTTGTACTGCATGGGAACCAAAAAATCCTCCAGAAACTTTCAGAGCCAGGACAAAACTCAAAGATAAAGCATAAAAGTGGGGGCTGTTCTCCAAAGACAAACCCCTCCTACAGACAGACAGCCTTACAGTAGCTTTGCAGTGTGCTATTTTAATTTTATCCACTTCAGGTTCAATTCACTGATTTGCTCGTGTGGCTTGAAGTCATGCAGTTTCTCTGGTCTAAGCACGGACACTCCTACAAGGAAGCATTGGTTGGAGATTTGTCTTAGAGAGTTTTTTTCTACTCCTTTTTTTTATGACAGCAATAATTCTTTTCATTACCTTACTAAGAGACTTTTGGATTCAAAGATATTAAATACATGCATACAAGTGTTAATAAACATTTTACCTTTTTACCAGATTATATAGGTATCAGGTAATAAAGATATATAAAAAGTCATGATTTAGGTTATATAGGTATCAGGTTATATAGATATCTTATAACTCAAGCTATATAAACTTTTGTAACTTAGATCAAAGTTTTACAGGCATCACTCCAAGGCAGCTGCTAATCATGGCAGGCTTAACACCCTTAACAGTTACTGCAGAGCCACGAACTTCAAGTATAACTGAGAATTTAAAAGTGCAAATACTAGCTCAGAAACAGGAATCCTTGCCCAAATTATTTCTTCTGCATAGTTTGTTGGTTTTTAAGAGGGATCCAGGTCTGATAAGGTTGTCTGGGGTTAGAAGCAGATCCTTCAAAACATGAAGGTTTTGTTGCAACCAAAACAGATGGAGACACACAGCCCAGAGAAGCAGCAGCTGGAAAAGGCAGCTGCTTCATTTAAAACACGCAAAGCCTGTATGACATTTTGAATAAGAAAATGAAGCTGCTATGAGCATATCAAATTGTGAGAGTTAGTTAAAGCAAAGTCCCTAAGACCATAGGGAACAAAACAACCCTTATTTTTCTTCATTTCATGTCACAGATGACTATGTAGAAAAACATTTTACGATGACAGCTTCTGGTTGGTTTCACACCACTGACCTGACTTGGCTGATTGCCAAGAATCCCATCCATTGTGCATCCCCACTTCTAGGGAAAGCTCCTGTGCAGCCACAGCCTCTGCACTGAATGACTAATGACTAAAGAAGGGAATCCTAGGAGGAAAAAAACCAACAAAACCTAAAAAATCAAAAGGTTCAGAAGAGACACACAGGAAACTTTTACAGATGTTGATGTATTTCACAGAAAGGCAATGGGAGTTTTTTGGTTTTTGGTTTTGTTTTTTTATGGAGTAGATCCTCCTTAGCCAATAACCTCTTATTGGTTAATGTTCCCATTAAGGCTGGACTCAAAAGGGTGGTCACAGCCTGAACAGATGCATCAGAGCTTGATTCTAACTGTAAGGTGCCCTTGAAAACCTACACAGGTGATGAAGAGAAAAATGCCAATAATATCTATCATTAGCAATTGCAATATCATTTCTCATTTAGCATAGTGTCACCTCTCAGAAAAACCAGCATGGATCAGTCATGACCAGTGTAGGGGATAACACCTTTGAGCATCTGAGAAATGTTACACCCTTTTCACCTTGAAATTTTCACAGAAATTCTTCACCCTGTCTGTGGAATAAATAAAGCTATTGCTGCATCAGAGAAAATCCAAAGGTTGATCTGGAGGAAGAAAGCTCATTAATCTCTATGCTGAGATGACAAGTTCACCACACAGCTAGAAGCACAGCACCTGTGTTTCCACTTCATTTCAATTACTTTCTTTGTACAAATAATAAAACTGAACTCATCGTCAAAGGATGATGAGTTATAATAATAAATATAATAAATATTAATACAGCAGATTTTTGATCATCCTTCTTACAAGCAAGATGAAAAATTAATTTGATGAGTGTACACTGTGTCCCATGAGACACATGGATGGGTGAGTAACTTCAGGCTCCAATTCAGGTTCCAATGTTCAAAGCCAAGGTCACTCTGGGCAGTCTTTAGGAAGCACAGACCCCAAATGCTGTTGTCTTGATTAACCCTGGGAGGCACCTACTCTATAAACACAGCAGAATCTTGTCATTTACACCAGTACCCTGCAGAGCAACAAATGAAAAGACATGTCATTCACTGAAAATTTAGACTGGGATGTGAAGCTGTGTGGAAAAAATGCAGAAGAGTCTCATTGATTTCCATAACTCCCAGATCACTTTCTTCTTCTGACCATCTCTTAAATATTTCATGGTCAGGACCAAGCAAATATTCCACTGGAATCTGGTTTTTACTCTCATAGACAGCATACACAGGTTGTTGTGGTGATGATTTGAAAGCTACAAAAATGCAGAGTAATGTCAGAAGCTGTTTTTTATGAGTCAGACACATAATACACACACATTGAAATCCATTAATTTCTTGACTGAAAGGTAAAAACTTCTGTGAAAGGCTTAGGGAGAAAACATTATTTTTTTTCATAAACAGGATGAGGTCACTTGGAGCACAAAAGGAAGTATAAATGAAATCACATGTTAAATCAAAATGTTGATATTAACAGCTGAAGGAAGAAAAAAGAGGATGGAATTCCCATCCCTAAACTGGCACTGAAGGCTGGTTCAATGACTATAAAATAGAGTGCAAATCTGAGGGCAAGACAATCCCCCTAACAATAATTACCAGGTCCTGGTATTAGCAAGAAAAGGGCATTTTTATCATTACAGATGTACCTAGCAGAAATGTTATTACCCATTAAAGTCCCCTATTATTCTGCTGTCAGTTACCATCTGTTAATGAAGTCTTCATGATCTGACAGCTCATTCTTTAATTGTCACCCTGTGCCAGTCTCTGGTTCACAGCACACTGTGAGCTGAGCCTTCATATATTACACATTTCATGAGCTGAGTTTTCCAGGCTTCACCTGACGTAATCTTTATCTCCTCCCTAAATGACATCCTCCTATGAAGCCAGCCCGTGCCTTCAGAGAATCCTTTGTGGTCTGATAAATTACAGATTTCTGTGCTATTCTGGCAGTGGAAGAGTATCCTTCTGATCAAGCATTTCTTTCAAAGTTTGCAAGTCTCCTTGAGACTCATCAACTTGAATGTTTGTCATTAAGAGGTATTTAATGTTAATTATCCTGCCATTCCTCAACTCTCTCTCAGGAGTATTTTTTAAGTTTCCATAGATACCAGCTCTGTAGCTCTGTTAAACAGAACCCTTTCATAAAATTGTATTTTAACCCCTCAAGAAAAGACTGCTAATATCCAGAAACCTGTACAACTACATTTATGTTTTAACACCTCCTATGCTCTCTGATGCCTCTCAGATGCTCCTCCCCATGTGATATTCCCACCACTACCCAGAGTGAGGTGGTTCATGTGTGTGGCACTTTAATAAAAGGTCCACAAATATTCAGCACACTGAGAGGGAAGCCACAAAAACTAGCCAAAAGGAAACTCACAAAGGAACAGATTTTAATTACTTCTTTTCTCAATTTTAGATGGCAAAATCTCCTTTTGCAAGGAGTTGTGTATATTCTGGAATTCTACAATTAGAGCATTCTCCTGGGAAATAAAAAGAAGGCCAGGGGTTATTAATCAAAAACCAAAGCAGGTGTCCAAATAACCAGGCTGCAATTCCCTCTTCCCTCATTCTCCCTGCAATATCTGTCACTGCAGCACCTCTAGAGATTTGGGGAACTCAAGCTCAGTTTTCTCTTCAGTCTTTCAGCTTCCATCCTGAACACATGAATGAAGAGAGGGCTAAATGGTTCTACCTCTGCCACATCACAGAAGGAAACATGAGCCTCAGACACGTTGCAATATAACCAAATTTCACCCATGTAACTCAAACATGTTGTCTTTTCAGCTTTGAATGGTCTGACATCAGGCCAGGTCTGTGCACTGCCTTGCAACACAAATGGCTAATTCTGATACTCTCTTTTGAATTTTATAAAATGTTTCTGATATCCTTTCCTCCAACATACCAGGTATCTCAGTTTAGTACCTTATGAATGAGAGTTTTCAGAATTGATGTTCATTATTTAATTTTGCATTGTCCTGCTAGATTCAGGCTGCTCTCAACAGCAAAGCCCTAATTATGTTTCCCTTTGATGCAAGAATTCATCATCTTGCTCTGGTTATGATCAAGGCTGAGATTTTGAAAACTAAGGGCTAATATAAGAACATCCAAACCAGATTAGGCCCAGTGACATAAATCCTGTCTCCCACAGAAAGGTTTGATGAGAAAAGAGCATGAAAACAAAGCAATCATATAATGAAACTTCCCCAGAACACCCTCCTAGTCTCCAAGGATTTGCAGCACAGAGAATTCTTGAGAATGAAATTGCAGATTTGTGTGTAATTACCCTCAGTGGATAAATTTATGGTCAGAATTTACATGAACTTTCAGTATCCACTATGCCCAGTGACTTCTGATACAGATAAAATGCATGCTTAGAGATGCTGGGGAGAATATTGTGAGTCTGTGCATTTTATCAGCTTGCAATGGAAATACCTTCCTGGCTGGGGCCAGGGGAGATAGAGAGAGCAGATGTGCCTCCAGCTTATTCCTGGGGAATGCTGGAACAGCAGGAGCTACAGAAATCAGCCATGCCTCCAGCTTGTTCCTGGGGAATGCCATCTACTGGTGGCAAAGAAGGTGCTGTGAAAATACATTCAAACGCCAGAAACACGGTTTGCCTACAACTTGAGTATCACTCTGGCTAGAATTGCCAGATTAGCAGGATTATGTATCTGGACATTATCAGTGCAAATAAAAGAGGTGATGAGCCAGGGGGAAAAGGAATTTTTTCAAGGATTAAGGAAGAAGGAACTAAAAATGTGAAATAAGCCACAGTCTGGGTACTCTGATTTTTGCAATAGTTTCATCACCAATACAATGTTAAGAGATTCTTTTGGAAGTCTTTCCAGCCCTCATTGACTGTAACCAGAGAACATTTGCTCCTCTTTAATGTACTTTTAGCCAAAAGACAAAATGGGGATGATATCCTTTGATGCTGGCAATATAAATTAAGTTGCCTAAGTGAAATACTGATGCATGAAGTATCCAGGATGTGAAGCACACCAATGCCAAACATTCCAGACTGCTGAGCTGGTAACACAGGGTAACAGGAATAACAGGTGAAAATGCTGAAGGAATCCAGAAGGAGCAAAAGGAAATAAAACTACTTATATACCTGTATTTTTTTACCATGTTTCTCAGTGCTAATGAAACTCTGGTGTAACCTTAAGGCAATTGCCTATGGGATGACTTTCTATTTATTGCAGCCTAATTACCCAAGTCCATTAGTTAAACAATTTTTCAAATCTCTCATCTGTATTCATCAAACTCACAAGTCTTTCTTCTTGACAAATTGTTATTAAAACAATAAAGCCAGACATCAGGGGGATCTCAGGCTCGGGATATTTGGATGAATTCCCATGGAGTGGGACACGATGACCATGGCCTCCCCTGAACTGCACAGACAGAGCAGCCCACTCACCCCAGCCTGGCCCCTCTCATCTCCCTGGTTCTGCCTCTTTGTCATATGTGAGCACAGCAGGGCTTCACTGAGCAGCAAGTCACACTGGAAGAGGATGGAAAACAGTTTCTTCATGTCTGAGCAGGCAATGATGCCTCTCATCAAGAAGTTACAGTTTGCTTTCCTTTTGCCAGAGCCATTCCCTTCCAAGTGCCTAAAAAGCAGGCTGGGATAACCACACCAGCTGCTGCTACTGACACTTACACCAAAGATGCCACAGCCCCATCCCTCACAGGACTAAGGGATGGTGGGTGCTTCCTTACTGAAGAAAAGAAAATGCCTCCTCAGTAAATGGTGGTAACACTGTGTACTTTGAAGCAGATGCCCTTCCACTGGCACTGATCAAACAGTTGACTTTTCTCTGCATGTGTGGGAACAAGAAGAAAATGTGAACTGCATCATATGCAGGAAGACTTCTGCAAAACATTAAAAAAAAATGAAGGGAATCAGTAGGCAAGCAAAATCCTGGCTGGCAAAGGGTATAAGGCTAATAGGAAATGCTCATGGCAGAATCTAGTTTTCCCCATGCATTTAACTAGGATCAGCTCCAACAGCAATATTTGATTTCCCAGTTGATAAAGCCTTATAGGCAATTTTTTAGAGAGTATTTAAAATCATTCCTCTTTTCCTGGCCAAATACCAATCACTCATAGCAAAAGGATCATTGACAACAACCTTTAAATATAAAATGGGGCTATTATCAAGTAAATATTTTGTCAAGATTTGCAAAACTACTAATGCATAGTTTCTTTTAAATAAATGAAGGTTCCAGCTATGGCATCCCACTCTTGAAGGGTGCAACAATTTCCCTTTATCTTCAGTAAGGGTTTGGTACCAGAGAGCTCGTGGCACACCGAGAAAACTGCCCTGCATGTGAAATCTTAGGACTAAAAGTATCTCTGTAAAGAACAATAAGAAGAACATTATGTACACTGTGCTATTTGAAAAAGGCACAATGATTTAGGTTCACATTCAGGCAAAGACTCAATGTAAATATATTTATTACCTTACTTAACTGTAGAAAGATACCAGCTGAGATCTTCAGCACCCTCTGGCTCAACAGGCTCTTCAGCTGAAGTGTACCCCTTCTCCATGTGGTTTCCCAAGTCTTTTTGGAAGCTGATTTTGGCCTGTTCTGGGAAAAGTGATATCTGTCTGCAGTGTGGGAAAGTCATTCTGTTTTTCTGTCATTGCTCTGGATATATTCACCCACGTATACTCGAGTCATGGGAAATGGCATGATTCAGACAGCTCTCAGAAATTACTGAAGGATGTCTTTGGAAGTGAAAACAATTACCAGGAAATCACAGGGAAAAAAAGAAGTTAAAATTTCAGAACACATTGGTATTGATATGCCTTGGAAAACAACACTACATGTTTCATTTTACTGGGCTATTGTCATTCCTCTTTACTATAATAATGTATGCTTCTTGCTCTGAGGATTAGAGAAAGATAAAGAACAAAATATGCTTTCAGAAAAAGACAGTTACTCACAGGACATGAATCCTTTTTTAGGGCAAAAGAAATTGCTTGAAGTCTGGGTTTTAAGACCTGCTGTTCTGAGAGTGTTGCCCAGTTAATGCACAGTTGTATCTGCTGTCTCCAAGGTCTCTGGACAACATTAGCACAGTCTTCAACAGTAAGTCTCCAAAATGAGGAGCTATGGATGGATAGTTCATATTTTTAGGAACAGAGTTTTTTAAGACATCAACCCTTGCCAAAGCAGCAATAATAAAGGAGCATTAAAAGGCAGTAAAGGTAATTATAGGGCTTACTGAGAGTCTCAAAATCTGCCAGGAGGTAAAACATTACAAAAGACACTTCACATAAAGAACACAACGCTGCAAACTCATTGAGCTGCTGTAAAATTACTTTGCAATAGAGGAGTTAAAAATATAGCAATTATTCAAGAAAGAATAAATTCTCCCATGTTTTCCTGGTGCTTGAGATATGTATTTTTTCTCTTTTGAGTCTCTTGGCCAACTCTTTATCTTTTACACACCACAACACAATCAGAGAGCAGTAAATATCATAAGCTTGATCTTGTCCAAACTGAAGTGAATGGAAAACTGCCAATGGGGCTCAAAGGGTAGAAGGGTATCCCCAAACCAGGGGATAATAATAATCACTGTGGTAACAAGCTCTATTGTTCCTTTCACTTGTGTTTTACATGGCTTTACTTACTTTGGGGAGATACTGATATGGGGACATGTAAAAAGAGTATTTCCCTCACACATATTAGATATGCAGATGCTGTTTCTGTCTCTGGACCGGCCGTATCATAAGCAGTTTAAATTGCAAACTATCCTCAGTGGAGCTCCTGATTTACAGGGATTAACTGGCCTGGAATTTGTACTTCTAGCATTGACAAAGGCTTGATCTTTCCCCCTGAGGAAAAGGCCAGTCTGCTGTTACCCTGAGAACACATGCTCCATCCCAGACAATAAAAGAGAAGTTATTCAGTTGCTCTTATTGTCTTTACCTGATGCCCATTGGAATAGTTTTCTTTAGGAAGCTGCTGTGATTGCTTTTAAACTGATTTCAAATTTATGCATTTATTTTCAAATTTATGCAAATCTTTCATACAAGAGGAGTTTACCACATGTGAAATACTGGCTGCATTAAGGGAAGATTATGCATTGGTTTTGAGCAAGTTCTGTTGTCTTTTAGTGATAATGGGGCCCTACCTAAGGCAGCAAATCCCATGGAACTCTCATGGAAAGGGAGGCAAAGCCCGTCCCTCAATGGTCACGTATTTTAAGGTAGATGAAGATCCAGTGGGTCAAATCAGGAGAACAGAGGTAAAGCTGCATTTCCTCTTCTGAATTACCCTTCAAAACAGCAGCCTGAGCAGCTCTTTCAGGGGTCACTGTGTCCCCCTACTCCTCCTGGGTCTGGTTTTTGGAACAGAGCTGCCTTCTGTGGTAAAACCGGCTCCCTGACATCACTGCTACAATGCACTTCAAACGCTGTCCAAGGCCACCGCCAGTTTTGAAAAGAGATGTCTTAGAAATACCTCGTTCCTGCAAATTTTGTGGAAAGGAGTAGCCAGGCAGGGCAGTGAGCCCTTGTTAGCGCGGTCCCGCAGGGAAAGGCTGAGGCAGAGCTCGGCGGAGGATGGATCCCCTGAGGGCGCAGGGCGCGGCCCGCCCGGCCTGGCAGGGAGCAGAGACCATGGGGGAGCCCCGAGGCCACGGGGACGAGCTGAGGTGCGGTGTAGGGAACAGGGCAGGCGGCCGAACCTGCCCCGGCAGCGGCTGCGAACGGGCCGGGAGAGACCGGGAGAGACCGGGAGAGACCGGGCTGGCAGCGGCGAGCAGCGGGCACAGGGCGCTCCTGCCCAGCCCCAGAGCCTCGGCTGCAGCCGCGGGCTGAAGTTTGGTGCTGCAGTCCCCTCTCCCCTGTGGGATCGCCCAACTCCAGCAAGTTTT